AAAAAAAAAAAAAAAGGTAAAAGTTGTTTTTTTTTATTTTATTTTTTATTTCTAAATTGGTAAGAATTTCGATGTGAGCCTGAGGCAAGAGTTGTTCAGTTTATTTTTCTTCATACCTGGCAAGGCTGGCATAACATAGTTTTTTTTACTTTTTTTCGGTTTTTTTTTTTCTTCTTTTTTTTTGCTGGGACCTTCCCTGGGCCGCCCGGGAAAACAGGGTGACCCGGGTGGCCTGGCTGGTAGCCTAGCTTTGTGGCCAAATCCAAGAACAGCTAACAGTTTGCTCCTTACCGGGCGTTGTTCAGACTCAACTCTGCAAATTTGGGCGATGAGAAGATTTCTCAGCTCTTGATCAATGCAGGGACTCTTCCATCTCTGCAACACAGAGGGGAAAAAAGAAGACAGAAAAAAAAGATCGAAGTCATACAAGTCATATCAGACAAAATGGACAAATGTATTTCGAATTTGAATCAAATGTATCAAAAGTTTCAAAACCAACAAATGAGAGTCCCCACCTTTGGACCCAGGGCATGCCCAGACTAGGCCTTTTCAACTTATCTGCGGCTGTGTTTTTGAGGTCAGGTGCATCGAGGCCTAGCCGTCAAAGCAATCAGAATTGACAGATACATCCAGGAAAAACGGCATCAGCAATGCATTTTGAGTATTTGAATAATTTGACTACGGAACCTGTTGCGGCTACGCCCGCAATACAAATGGAATGTTTGCCAAGAAGTTGATGGACTCTCTCTCTCTCTCTCTCTCTCTCTCTCTCTCTCTCACACACACACACACACACACACACACACACACACACACACACACACACACACACGAGAAGATGGTGATGGACTTTCTCTCTCTCTCTCTGTGGTTCGTGCACAGGCTTGCGGATTTTCCACCTTTTTTTTTGTTCTTTTTAATTGGTCACGATGGACCATCCTGCTCAAGCCCCTGTCTACTCCCTCCCTCTCCTGCCTTCCCGTCCTCTCTCTCTCTCTCATTCACTCTCACGCGGGCGCGCACACACGTGCTTTTCTTTTTCTTTTTTATATAAAAAGGTATCGATGGACCAAGATCAGATATGAAACTGAACGGAGCAGGTACTACGGCTTGATGATGTGAGAAGATCGGATATAAAACTGATCGAAGCAGATACTACAGTTGATCGTGTGTTGTGGGGGGGGGGGGG